TCGGTGGATATAAGAGCGAGTTGTGTGTGACGGTCAAACTCTTTATACTGTCGTAAACTCTTTACTCTTGCAATCTATTGATAATTGATATACAACAATAGGGAATCAACTCGTACGTACCCTCTAATGACCCGGGAATCAACTCAACGGTGTCGGTGCAAGTAAACAGGTACCCGGGAATCAACTCGTACGCAGCCCAGGTTTTTGTCAGTGGAACGTCATTAATCATAACTAAGCACAGATATGTAAAAAGCAAACATAATTAGAAATACTAGAAAAAACAATAAAATAAAATAAAATATATATATATATATATATATATATTAAGTGTCAGGAGAGCAAATAAAAAATTAAAGAAAAACTGGAATTTTTAAGCAAAACAAGTTTTCGAAAAAATCGATTTGGTTTTTAGTGTAACTCTAATGATGACCCTAAATCATGAAATTTTGACTGAATGTTTGTGTTAGCATTTTCTATACACCTTAAAATTTTCAAAATATTTTGACTAGTTTTGAATTATTTATAGGCATAATATGGCATTTTCGATTATTATTTGTTTTTTTTAAACTTATGTTGATAAAAATTTTTCGCTCATTCAAAAAACTTGTAAATATAATACAAGGTTCCTATTGTAAGTTGTTATTTTTGGAAATTAAAAATAAAAGTTGAGCTTGAATCTACAATAACTTTTAATAAGCGTTTGAATTTAGAATTTTAATAAAATTTGTAAAAATCAGAAAAAATAGCAAATTATTTTCAGTTTGAAATTCATAAAAAATTTTCTTTTTATATTTAAGATTTAAAAATTGAATACAAGATTCCTTTAAGTTCATCTATCTTCATCAAAAAAAATGTCCACCGGAAAGTCAAATTAAATATTTTTCAGCGTTTGAAATTGAAATTGAAATTCTTACAACATTGCATAATCACAAGATTGTTCATGTAGCGATTTTCTTATTTTGTTGTAATTCAAAAAGCGAATTACTGTACATTTTAAATTTACATTATATGTTTATTTCATCAATTCATATACTTGATAAAATTTTCAAAAAATGTTGACTCTTTGAATTCAAATTTAATAGCATTCATTACAGCGACCTTCTATAGACACCTAATGTACTGCAGAGTGACGTCTACTTACCTACAGCTTTTTTAATTTGTAAATGTATTTCGATTTTCCGAGAGTGTAACAAGGAGATTTTTGAAGGGTTAAATAGTAGTTAAATAATAGTTCAAGTATCTGGCGTGCCACCGTGCCGGTTTTTCGTTTTTGAATTTCAATAAAATAAGAAAATTGTTCGATGAGAATTTGTTAATTTACAAGTGAACTGCGAATGTTGAAAAAACTTGAACTTCAAGCACACATAAAAATAATTTTACTTTCAGTTAATATTTGACTTGTTAAAGGTAAGACAAACTTATGAGGAGTCGTTACATTTTGAAATCTTTGATTTAAATAAAAAAATGTTTACGAATTTCTAACTCAATATAAACGCTCATGAAAAAATATTGTGGATTCGCGTACAACTTTTATTAAATTTTCACTAACAACAACTTATGATGGAAACTTGTATTACAATTTCAAATATTTTGACAATTTTTTGTTGACTCTTACTACCTTCAACCTACTATACAGCTGTTCGACTTCCCGGGTATTTTTATTTTGTTTTTAAATTCTGGGAAACTCCTCTATATCAATATCTCTCCTCAATATCTCTATATGGTTTTTCTATAACTCATGCTTTTTATATTCGGAAAACCATCTTCTTATAAGTTGTAAATCTAAAAACATATAAGTACAATTAGAAGAAAGATAGGCAACTTAATTAACGTCACAATATATTATATTAATTGCCCACTATCAACTTATTATTATTATTGTTCATTCAATTCCTCTTCTTTTTAAAAATATTTTAAGTTTAAATATATTTGTGGCTAAAATATTATCAAATATTTCAACTGAATGTCTTCCAACAAAATACTAAAATACCAAGATAACATTAAATTAAATTTACAATAAAAGAATAGAAATTTCCCAAGGTATATTATTATGTTTCACATGAGCATAATAAAATCAATGATTAAACATTTTTATACCTAATTTATATTATAACCAATGATATTATTATTATTCCACTTTCATAACTCATGATTCATAAATCAATTAATACTAAGATTGACCATCATTTTATTTAGTCTTCAGATTTTTTGAAATAAAGTAACTGATTAATAATATTTGTCATACTTTGAACACGTCATATTCTAAACATTGAAATAAAATCTCAAGACTCAAGAAGATGTCAAAGCACAACTTGTTTTCACTAACCAACTCACACTTAACATAGAAAAGGAAGTTTAGCTTAGTTTCGATGTAAGTTATAAAAATGTAAAACAATACAATTTAAAACAACTCAAATCTTGCTTTAAAATTTAAATATCATAAAAAAAGACAATAACACAAATAATGTTTAAAACTCTAATTTTGATAAGTCAATTCATTATAACACTAATGCTAACAACACAAGGTTGGTTCTACTAAACACAAATTTGGTATATTTCATGTGAGTCAGAGAGAGAATACAAATAATGCAGTGATATCCGAGATACTAAGCAAGACTGTGAAGTTTGAAATCTGTACTAGAGAATTTATTCATTTGTAAAACAAATTTTTGACTAAATACTGATACATAAAAAATAATAACAATTGTTATTGTTTAAAATATAAAAATATGAATAATCAAAAATAATCAGTTTACATTATTTATATTTTTCACAACCAAAATTCTCCTTTTATGTGGTGAAAAGTTTGTTTCTTTCATTATATGTGTAGCGTTCTTGGTTCTTTCCAGCACAAAATAGTTTTGGCTATGTTGTAAATTTGTAAGAATGAGTAAACACAAGAGGGTATAGCGTTTTCTTAATTCATAACATTAGAGTTGGTACAGTATATTCATAAAACAATTAATAACATGTATTTTGTATTTAAAAATGTTTTCACCAAAATGTTGTCAAGTACATAAGCTAGATAATAATATTATATATAATTAATAACCACCACTAACTGCAATTGACGTACCAGTAACATATGAACTCTTTTCAGACGCCAAAAACGTTACTACTTCCGCTATTTCTGTAAAATTAAAATTAAACAGAATTCATAATAAATTATCAACATAAAAACATTTAAAACATTAATAAAAAAAATAATTTCAAGAAGAATATAATATTTTTAAAACCATTTCCATACATTAGAAACAAAAAATTTATATTTTTTAGTTAATTAATTTTAATATTATACACAATAACAGCATTTTACAACATACATTATTATGCAAGTAAATGATAAATAATAAAAATATACAGATACATAATTAAATTTACTAACATTACAAATGTTTCAAAAGATTATTTATCATTATACTCATAGTTAATATGAAATTATCCCTTTTATAAAAAGGGAGCCAAGTTTCATCATAACAAATAAATAATAATGAAAATTTGAAATAGATATAAGAATCTTAAACAACTTCATTTAAGTTTTTATAAATACATTAAAAGTTATTTTACATTTATTAGATGTTATTATTATAAATTATTTTTATTATTTATTTATACATTACCACAATAATAAATTGATTGATCAAAATATATAACTCAACCTCACTGATTTGCTCTGATTATTATTTGAATGATAGTTTAATAGATTTTTGCAAGTATACAAAATAAAAGTGAGATGTTTCTGAACATTAAAAATGATAACAACCAAGTGTTTGCACTGATTAAAATTCCTCTTATATAAATAATAATTTAAATTATTATAATATAATATCATTGTATCGATTATTAAAAAAATTATTATACCTATCATTGAAATGTATACTACATTTCAAAAAATATTTTTAGTTAAAAATTAGTATCAGTCATATTAGTAGTGGAATATGTTATGTAAAAAGATCAGATTTTAGTACAATACATCTAATGTAGCAAAATATAGCAAGTTAGACATTTATGGTTAGGGTAGAATAAAATATTATCATTATTTTGTTGCCATCAACAACATATTTGGTAATAGTTAAAATATTATGATAACTATTATATTTATTTATTTAGATTATAATATTGATGGGTATCTTAGTAATGTTTCGGGTTTAATCAATAATTAACTCACTTAACCAAATCCTGCCTAGTGACTTAATTAAACAATAGGTTTATATATACTCTCCCCTAATAAAATAGCGACCCAACCACTGACCAATACTCAAAATGTTTACAAAACTTTTAATAGACTGGCTAGTGGCTGTAACGTGTTAATACAAGCTTAGTAAACATAAAGTCTTTAAAACAGTTGTGCAACTTACAGGGATCAGAATATATAAAAATTAATTATTTTTAGAAAATGCTTATCATTAAAATTAAAAAAAAATTGTAGGGACTTCAAACACTAAATTACCTTGTATAATATTAATGAGCAATTTTATTATCATTTGGTTATTAAATTAAAATGAAGAATAATAATCATTAATTTATGCAGTAATGTTAGGTAATACAAATTTAATTTAACAAAACAATGAGTTATTTTATAACACCTTCTCCACTGTACTCGCTGGCCACTAAATGACTTGTTACTTTTAAAGATAAATTATAAATAAAATGAACAATAATTTTATTTTCAATAAATTATTTAAAAAAACAATGTTATACATATTATGATACATTTTTATACATGTATGTACAAAAATTAAAAGTAGTCAGATCCCTACTTAAATAACAATATTTGTTAGGAAAAAATATATTGTTAACTTGGTTCACATAATATGAATTTGCTTCAAATATTATGATAATGAATACAAATTTATGTCAAATGTTTCAAAAGTGATTACCTTCAGAATTGGCAAACCTCTTCAAGGGAATGACTGACTTAAAATGTTCTCTAATGTTCTCAGGTACCATGTCAGTCATAGGAGTGGTTGTAAACCCCGGCAACACAGTGTTACATCTGATGTTGTACCTATTAGTAAAACAATATAATTTTAATACTAGTAAAACAATATAATTTTAATACTATCATAAAAAATTTTTTTATTGATTAAAAAGAAGAGATATTCCTAGCCTATGTCTATATTCATACTGAGTGATCCAACAAGTATGCTCACCCTCCTTTTTTTCTTTAATAATGAAGTTTTTTAAAATCTGATTTTTGGAATCTTTAAATATACTCAAAGACCATATTTTCATCTTCTTGAGATTTTTTGCAAAACTTAAGGAGTGTCCTGTGACGATACAAACCTTTGTTTTTCAAATGAGAACCCCACTTTTTTCTTTAAATTAGTTAGCAGATAATTTTTTGGAGAATTTTAATGCATCCAAATCAAAATTTGAACGAGTGGTTTCTAGTTATTGGACAATTTGTACTAATAATAATAGCCCATAATAGGGATATGCTTATACAGTTCTACACATCATGAAATAAGAAAAATAACTAAATAAATTGTGAAGGATTTTACTTTACCTAAGTATTTGATTAAATAAATATAAAATGACATATTATTTTATATTATGTGTATAGACTATAGATAACAACTTATACGGTATAAGCATATCCTTCTTCTCTATTATAAACTATATTATAATTAACACAAAATGTGTATTAACTAGAAAACTACTCGTTCGAATTTTGATTTCAATACATCAAAATTCTCAAAAAAATTATCCGCTAAATAATTTATAGCAAAAAAGTGGGGTTCCCATTTAAAAAACAAGTCTGTATAGCCACAGGACACTCCGTAAGTGGTACAATAAATCTCAAGAATATTAAAATATGGTCTTTGAATATATTTAAAGATTCAAAAAATCAGATTTTGAAAAACTTCATTGTTTAAAAAAAAAGGGAGTCAGCATAATTGTTGGTTCACCCTGTATATATATATATATAAATATAAATATTAAACATTTGACATTTTTAACACAACAGTTAGTTAATTTACAAGTATAATATAAATATAGCCTATCAGTATGTAATTTAATATATAACTTTAACAAGAAATCAGGACAAACAAAAATTATGATTAAATAATGATGTTGGCAATGAGTGTATTGAATACAGAGGAGAAAAAGAAATTAAAAGGATTGATTAATGAGTTTAAATAAGATATGAACCTGGAAAAAGCATTGGTGATTCGTTCTGAATGTATATAGTTAAGAATCATTGTTAACATTAAAATTTAACAAACTTTGCCATTTCTAATGCTACTGTTTTACTGAAGACTTCAACGGCAGCCTTGCTAGCCGAATAATTGCACTGTCCAATGTTACCACGTTGTGCAACTATACTTCCAATATTTACTATAGAACCAGGCAAGTTCTTCTCCACCAGTTCTTTGCAAATAGTTTGAGTGATGAGAAAAGTTCCCTTTAAAGTTTAAATGTAATGGTACAATTTCAATATGTAATTTAACACATTAATAATAGGTATATATAAAACATTGAATTCAGACTTAAGGATGATTTCCTTATACCACACAGCTCTATTACCTTTACGTTAACATTAAACACGCTCTCAAAATCTTGCACAGACATTTTTAACATGAAATTGTCTCTTGTGATACCCGCAGCATTGACTACTACAGTCGGTGGAGCAGAATAATCCGTAAACACTTGTTTTAATACACTTGTGACGGACTCAGCATCAGATACATCCAATTGATAACTTTTGTGACCTTCGCCTAAAATTTATTTTGCTAAATTCTATTGTTAATAAGTTTTTAATTCTAAAATTCTACCTGTAAGCTCTTTAACAGTGGTCATTACATTGCTTATGTTTAAGTCAGCTGCTACTACCGTAGCACCTTCTCTAGCCATCACACGACAAATCGCTCGACCGATACCTCCTCCAGCTCCTACAACAACATACAATGATTATGAGTTTGGAAATCATTATTGATCGTTTTTATACATTTCAGAAATTTATAATCGAACTTGCCGGTCACAAAAGCTAGTTTTCCAGGTAACATATCGAAAGTGTACAACGAGAAAAATTACAAACAAAGTTCGTAACTGTAGTATTGTACTGCTTATACTAAAGTTTGAAAGACGTCCGACTGTCCGAGTGTCCGACTGCTTGAGGTATGACGAATAAAGCAATTCAATAATAAAAAATAATAAGTATTCAGAACAGCCACAACCGTGGTAGCAATAATTATAAGTTCCGTCATGGTCGCTGATGAGTAATAACCATAGACCTTAACAATAATAGGTATATGATAATAACTTATCTCAAATACTATAATATAAGTTGTAGGTATTATAATTTACAGCATTTGCTAATATCAATTATCAGGATATGAATATTTCTATCTACTCGCGATTTTAAACAACATATTAATACGTTAATGGTTCTTTTAAAAGAATATTTAGTTAATATAAATGTTGGGGGGGGGGCATATATAATAAAAAATATTTATTTAATCTATTTATTCAGCCAAAGCAATTATAATTAAATAATTACAATAGATTACATAAAAGTAAACATCAACATTACATGTAGGTACATATTAATCGATATAGATTAAAGATAATAATTATTAATTAATAAATATAATTTATAATATATTATTGTAAATTGTAAATAACTGTAATATCACTAATATCGGACAGTTTTGGGACAAGTGCTTATCATCACTCGTATTAATAATTGATAAGGTATGTTGATAGTAGTTTATGATGCGCGCATGCGTGTGTGGAGCCTGGAAATAGACAATTGGATCTGCGCCAGGACCACGATGTAGAGAAGATATGTGTCAGTGCCACAGTGCCATATATTATTAACCTGCATTCATTGGCTCATTTGAAAACCGCGCGTAAATCTAATTCGAATTATTATCAAAATTATAATGTTATTATCAACTTGAACAATAATATGAAATTGTATATTACATTACACATTACAATAAATAAAGGTATTGTCCTAGAGAAAAAAGAAAAAATACATACTGTGTTTGGTTCTAGTGATATTCTTTAATAATTAATTTTTTAACACTTCCTCTTAATAAGTCACAATAGGTAGAATAGAAGATTAAATTTTCATAAATAAAATACCTATTATAATATTACCAATACTATTAAGGACTATTTAGAATTTAGATCCTTTAAACATTATTTCCATTTTGTTAATGTGTAAAATAGAATTTAAGCAAACCAATGTTATACACCAATTTTGTGCAGACTTTGACTATTACATTTTGGAGTCTGTTGATGATCATTGATGTGTATATTGAAATTACAACACTATATTGTAGCATTTGTTACATATTATGTATGTAAATTACACACTTAAATTCCAACACAAAATATACATACTCAAAACTTTTCAGCCCCATCCAAAAATAATTTTATTGTTTAAGAGACATACTACCATAAGCTACTAAGGAACTCAAAGATAGGTTGGTAGCTACAATTCTTAACTGCTATCTTTCTATATACAGTAAAGTACTTATTAAAATATATTCTTGATTTTATATTTTTTGTATCTACATATCATTGATTAAAAATAGGTAGGTAACAATGTAACTATATATTTGCATTATTATAATAATAATTACCTATAACCTATGTAATAAGACCCAACAATATTGACACATTATAAATAAATTAAAAGTAAATAAACACACTACATTTTAACTTAGAAAAAATCTTTTATTTTATTCTTCTCAAATAAGTAATGAAAACTGTTGAATTTTGTGTCCATGTGTTAAAACATCTGAAAAACCATTATTTACCCATCAATATATTAATGTCGGTACACAATAAGATTAATAACATATTGACATGCACCTATTTTACAATTAATCCTACGAGTCAGGTACAAACTTTTTATATGGTAGAAACACGTATAATTTATTACAATATGTAAAGAATAATAATAAACGGATGTGGGAACTCAGGTAAATAACTCTGTAAACAATAGTATAAGCGAATATAAATATTAAATATATAATGAACAATAATTGGGAAACTGACCACGTGTGAGGGCCTAGAAAATGACTAACCTGACTTGGTGACTTCAGATCATTCTTCACAGTCTTTGACCGGTGCGAGACCGGAACACAGCGCACACGGATCACTGACGGGAGCGAACGCGATGTCCAACTCAATCGCGGCTCTCAACAGACTCGACTAACAAATTCTACTATTGGTGCAAACGAAAGACGCTTTCGATAATCGTGTAAACCGACTGATCACAGCAACGCACATACAATTTCGGGGCCCCACGAGACAAAAGTGGAGTGTGTATAAAAATTAACAATAATCACGACGCCGATGTACGTGCGCCATGTTTCGACCACAGGTAAACGCAAACTCATGGATGTAGTTAAGACCAATGGCAGCTGATCACAGCTACGTCCCAATCTCGGATTCACACAAGATTTCCGCTGGACACGCACGGCGATGAGAACTTAAGCGCCCCGACGTTCAACCCCTCGACAAAGACAAAAAGCCGCCAGAAGGACACAACGTACAACGGCCACGCCTGCACCGGCCGGCGCGGCTGGTGAGGGACCACGGAGAGGGAAAGCCGTCGCTAAGAGCTTCGATATCGTCAAGCAACTTTAAAACGTCCGCGTGACCTTATTAATTGGCGGCCAACCCGTTCCGAGTTCGAACACTTACACTGTTTCTGGCTCTGTTCAACTTGAAAGTGTCTAAGAAAGATTTTTGAAATTCTATTTGTATTGTTTTAGGCATTCCTCATTTAGCTCACAACTATACCGATATCATTAACGCATTTGACCTGACTACCCTTGAGGAAAGAAGAAGAATATTAAATTAACAATTTATTTGAGGTTTAATGAACATCAATAAGGGAAGATCTTGGCCGAAAACGGTGACGCCCGAATACGGCAGCTTCGGCACTCAGGCAAATCTTCATCTGTAAGAATTATTCGATGATACAAGTCTTCAAATACTTCAAACACTGATATCAAATGATTGTCGACAGCTGCGTTTCATAAACATTCAACACATTTCGCAGAGCTGCTTACAATATTTTAAATTTTCGAATTCTTATCATTCGAATCTTCTGTGTTTGCCTCATATGTCTCATACACTTAGGGCTCTACGTTCAAGTTAGGTTTTTTTGCTTCTTAATGCAATCAAAGCGTTTGTGAATACTTAACTGCTTAACAGTGATTATTATTAAAAATAGATACATTATAGTTATCAAGCTTAAAAAGTTATCTACTAAATATGTTTTAAAATGGCTATCGTACCCAATTTAAACTAAACAAATTGGAGAGTGTGACTAAACATCACTCAAGTATCAAACTCTAGCATTTTGTTGAGGGGAATATTACTATTTTCAGGTAAAAGAAAAGTCTGAAAATGCAAAATTGAAAATGATAAACCATAATTAGTAACATATAAATTATTTTTGTGTGTAATCCCTATGATATTTTTAGCAATTACAATAATTTTTATTTTCAAATTTTTGAAATAAAAAGTATTTGATGAATTTTGTAACTGATAATGGGAACTATACTATAATACATAAAATATATTTTAAAAGAATACATCCATCATACTAAATAAAATGAAAATATTAATATTTTCAAAAACATTGTGTGTCAAATAAATATTGTATTTGTATTTTAATGTTTACAGAATTTAGATAATTTAAAAAAGGATATCAATTCTAGTTGAATAATGGTTATAATTTTAAAATAATATTTGAAGGTACAAGAAACTGTTGAAGTATAGCTAGTACTATATTTTATACACGCAATAATAACATTTTTAATTAATTTTTTGGCAAAAATTCAACCTACTGTATTAGGAAACATATTACATCTGTTTACGATAAGTAGAGCCACTACAGAATATTTAATTTGCATACTAAATATTTACTCAAGTGATGAAAATAAATAAATACCAATAAAGTAGAAAAATAAAAGCAAATAGTATAAAGTATAAACTACTTTTTGAAACCTTGTTTTAAATTTTCTATATGTAGATTTAATAATTGAAAAATTTTTAAACTACTATTCTAACAACTTAAGACCTAACTTAACATTTAATTTTTTTTTTCTTTTACAGTTTCTGATATTGGTTTTTATTTTTTCCAATTTCAATTTTGATTCCCAATATTGTTTATTTTCGATTTCACACTAAATGTATTGATTTGACAATGATGTATGTTTTTTTTGTGTGTTCTTCATCGCCTTTTTTGATAGTAATGTGCTTCGATTTTCTTCGACATCACCTCTTCTGGTAGGAAAGTGAACCTAGTTAGAACTTTGAAGAATAAAAAGTAAAAAATTCAAAATAGTTTTCTAAATGACATTAAAAACAAACACAAAATTAAAGAAAAATGGTATTGCTTGTACAGGAACACTGGTTTTCGACAAAATAAATTTTGGTTTTTGATTTACCTTTAAAAAATTACCGTAGTTACTTCCAATGTTCACTGAAGTTCTATATCCGCGTTTTCTATGCACAATACAATTTTTTTTTAACTTTTCTTGACCATTTTGAGCTGTTTACAGACTTTTTCAGTTTTTAATTTTTAAAATTTTTTTTTTATAAATGTCAATACAATTTTTTGTTTGGTCAGAATACGTGAAAACTTAATACGACGCTCCTGATATATTGTTTCAAAATCAGTAAATAATATTAAAAATACATAGGCAATATTTTTTTTATAAGTATTTATATAAAGTATTATTTTTTTTATATTTAAAATTTTTAAAGCTGAGGGTTGAACAGTTAAAATAAGGTTCCACATAAGTAGGTTATTCCGTAACCAAAAAATTGAAAAATATATTATATGAACAGTTTTTTTTTAATAATTGTTTTATGTTCAAATGTGGACGAAATTATACATATCAAATAACCGAGAATAATGATTTAAGTTATAATGTTATAATTTAAAGATATTACTTGTGGGTACAAGAAAATTTTAGAGTATATTATTATATTTTATACTCAAAAAGGCTTATTAAGTGTATTTTTTTTTAATGAATTTAATCTAGTGTAGTAATAATACTTATCAGTAAAATAAATTACTTTAATCACAATATCATCAAATATACTAATAATTACTGAGTAAGTCTATACCTTACTTGTGGTCTTCGCTTTGAACCGTTTTTTGTATACAATGATTTTATATTAC